TGGGGGGCTCCCCCCCAAAGCACCTTGTCCCCATGTTGATGGGGACAAGGGCCTCTTCCCCACAACCCTGGCCAGTGGTTGTGGGGGTCTGCGGGCAGGGGACTTATCAGAATCTGGAAGTCCCCTTTAACAAGGGGGCCCCCAGATCCTGCCCACGTGAATGAGTATGGGGTACATGGTACCGCTTTTTCTGAAGAAGCCCATGTGACATAGTGGGCGAAACACGTCAACGTCACTTCCTGGACACGCTGGCACATGCGCAGTCCTGCGGAGCGGCTCAGTCAGACTGCAGGACCTGACACTCATACATTTTCTCTGTGGAGGCACGGCTTTACTTGCGGCATGCATGGCCGCCATTTTTAGCCACTATATTGCACCGCTGTATGCGGTATGTCATATCAATCTTTTCCTATCATCATGGCACGTTTTGGGCTGTCAACAGGAGTCTGATCCCGGCAGTGGCTGATAAGCTTTCCCTACATTGGGAGGATCCTCACTTGCTAACACACAGGATTCAACTTCACTGACTTCAGCAACTATCCCTGCATGGGCTATAGGTCTGTGGATGACTATCAGCTGCTACAGGTTTGACACAAGCTTTACACTTTATTATACCTGTATCTTCTGTGGACCTTTACTGAACTGGGTCTCTACCTGACAATCCCCTGTGCTCCATTATTTAAGGCATTTATATTTTATGCATATTACCGGCTCCACCAAACAATTATGCCATCTGCATGATACATGTTTACATGACAATCATTGACTGACCAAAAGATCTTTGGGATATTGGGAATATCATGTCATATATTGCCATTTTTCCTGCCATATGACAGAATGATCAAACGCAATGTCATCTAACCACTCTTGATATATTATAGACATGTATTCTACATAATTTTGCATTACAAGCCTATCATCATGGCACGTTTGGGGCTGGTAACAGGAATCTAACCCAGCAGTGGCTGATAGCTTTCCCTATAGTGGGAGGATCTTCACCTATTAACACACAGGATTCAACTCCACTGACCTCAGTAACTATCCCTGCATGGGCTACAAGTCGGTTGATGACTATTAGCTGTTACAGGTTTGACACATGCTTTCCATTCTGCCATATCTGCATTTTTTGTGGACTTTTACTGAACTGGGTCTTCACCTGACAACCCCTTGTGCTTCAAGTATTCAAAGCTTCTATATATTATGCATATTATGGGCTCCACCAAGCTATTATGCCATCTGTATGATACATGTCTACATGGCAATCATTGACTGTCCAAATGACCCTTGTGATACTGGGCATATTATGTCATATGTTGCCATTTCCCTTCCATCATTAAACCACTCTTGCAATATTGGAGATGTATTCTACAAAATTTTGCATTATAAGCCTAACCACATATTCTTGATGAGAGATCTGTCTTACTTTCATACATCACTTGATATCTGAGGAATGACTTTCAGCTTTTTACCCTGATACTAGGGATTATACCAATAATTTTTGATGGTTGCATCAAGGATCATGTTTATCTAGATTATTATGCACTTTTCGTGTATGTTTATATGGTTATGTGATTTATACATGAATCCTGTCCTTGGTACTCACCATACCTTCTTGAGCTATTTATATTACCATCTGCTTGTCATCTTCACTGTCTTGTTCAAATTTTGAGACTATTCTATTCAACACAGGTCTACTATTCATTGCATCCTTATGGGACTTTTTGCATGCCTAGTGCTGTCCAGGTTGATCTTGCCATTCTGCTCTTGACTTTCTTTCCCCCTGGGTGGTGGTGAGGTAATTTCTTGTGTAATTTTTTGTGTAATGTTTGTATATTTTGGCCTACCATGCCATACATATCTTTGTGATATTTGTACTTTTTACTGCAAATTAAATTATTTTTGTCTATCATTTTCAAGGCTGCAGTTTGTCCTCATTTGGACCCCCTTTTGGCCTCTGGGTCCTTTACCCCCTTGTCTTTTTTCTTTATTTTCCCATTTATGATTAGGGTCCTGAGGACACCACATACACATCTATGTGAGTCAGCATTATTTATAACTGGGTCACTATCTTTATTTGGTAATTTCTGACCCTGAGCTTTGGGAATCCTGGTGTGTTGTATGTTCTATTTTTTATTTAACATGGTACCACTACTCATTCACAAAAAAACAAAAAGTGTAGTGTAAAAAAAGACAGGACACGGTCTTTGACAAGTCCTTTAATAAAAGAATGTCCCCTGAAGTAGATCCAACATCAATCATGGTGTAAGGCTCCGCCGACCCAAGAAAAGAAGAAAAAAATTAAAAAGGTTCCGTTCCCAACGATGCCATCCAGCCCTCTGGTGTTGGCTGGGTGACAGCTCTTAAATATGTAAGGGGCGGGGCCACCCGGGGACATCACGGCATCATGGTAGCCATCGTCTGGAACGGAACCTTTCTTTTTTTTTTCGGGTCGCCGGCGGCGGACTTCGTGATTGACATTTGATCTACTTCGGGGTACATTCTTTTAGATTGTTCTTTTATTAAAGGACTTGTCAAAGACCGTGTCCTGTCTTTTTTTTAAACTAAACTTTTTGTTTATTTGTGAATGAGTAGCGGTACCATGTACCCCATACTCATTCACGTAGGGGGGGGCAGGATCTGGGGGCCCGCTTGTTAAAGGGGGCTTCCAGATTCTGATAAGCCCCCCACCCGCAGACCCCCACAATCACCGGCCAGGGTTGTGGGGAAGAGGCCCTTGTCGCCATCAACATGGGGACAAGGTGCTTTGGGGGGGAGCCCCCCTGCCCCAAAGCACCCCCCCATGTTGAGGGCATGTGGCCTGGTATGGTTCAGGAGGGGGGGGGGGCTCGCTTGTTCACCCCCTTTCCTGACCTGCCAGGCTGCATGCTCGGATAACGGTCTGGTATGGATTTGGGGGGGACCCCATGCCACTTTTTATTTTTTTGGCGTGGGGTTACCCCTTAAGATCCATACCAGACCCGAAGGACATGGTATGGATGGGAGGGGGGACCCCACGCCGTTTTTTAAAATTTTTTTTTTTTTTTTTTTATTTCTGACCTTTATTTTTAGATTCAGCTGTCAAAATATACATTATCTAGACCTTTGAAATATATAAACCATAACAGAAATAATTATAAAGGATAAGAAACAAAAAACAGAATCATTAGAACTAAGGAAATAAAATTAGAATACATAAAGATATGCCTAGCTACAAATAGTGCTGTTTGTTAAACACAGTAGACGCGATCGATTGCCGTCTGTCAGAGGACTCCACACAGAGATTTACTATTAAACAGCGTCTAAAAAGAAAGCGCCCACGGCAGATAGCTAAAATGTGTTCTGCACATGTGCATTTATATCTGTGCATAGACGCTGGAAAAGCGCTTAGTTCATGAATTCCTTTAAACAAATATTTTTTACACATTTAAAAATTTTTAAAAATGTAAGATATTGTTTAAAGTGAAGTTCCGATATTTGTGAAAGCAAATTTCAATGTGAACATGTCTCTGCAGTGATTTTTCGTTGTGTTAGATGTGCTTCTTGGCAAGTGTGCTTTCTTAGACTGATTCCTGGATTGTGTGTGGTTAGTAAATTTGGTTTCGTGTCTACTTGTTGGCGCTTTCTTTAGTAAATGTCTATGCTGTCTAAAAGTAGATGGTCGCTATTGAAAAGTAGATGTTAGCCCACGGATATGCAGCTAGGCACATTAGTAAATCAAGGGCCTATGTGTCACCTCGCATGCGGTCATATTTAGGACATTAAATTAGATAGGAAGAATCTCCTATGTTTAGTTAGTGCCTGGATGGTGAGGGTTTATTTTCTGTTTTGTTTTTCTTTATGATGCTTGCAACCTTTTAACCACTAGGGGACAGCCCACAGTACATATACTGCGACAAAGCGGCCACTGTATGCAGGATCACTTATATAAACGTGATCCTTGTTTACATGCTAGGGGGCCCGCGGCACCGATCGCGGCCGCGGGTTCATCTTTACTCCCTGTCAGTTCCCAGCTCACTGTTCCGGAGAGCACAGCTTAGCTTTCTGAGACAGCATGCAACAGTGAAGTACACACCCCCGCCCACTAGTAAAACACTCCCCTCACACAGTTAACCCTTTGATTGCCTAAAAATGTTAACCCCTTCCTCCCCAGTGCCATTAATACAGTGTCAGTGTTTTTTTTTTTGCACTGTATTGGTGTCACTGGGGATGTAGGTGACCCCAAGTCAGTTCCCCCCCCCGGGTTTCAGAATGTCCACCGCAGTCCCACCATAAGTCACTGATTGCCGCCATAAGTCGCTGGTCACCGCTATTATTATTATACAAAAAAAAATCCAGTATCTATACTGCCATTTGTAAACGCTATAACTTTCACGTAAACCAATTCATTTACATGTATTGTGATTTTTTTTTATAGCAAAGACATGTCGCAGAATACATTTTGGCTGAAATTTATGATGAAATTAGATTTTAAAATTTTTTTACTGGACATGTTTTATAGCAAAAAGTCCAAAATATTTTTTTTCCTCAAAATTGTAGGGTTTTTTTTTATAGCACAAAAAATAAAAAACACACAGGCGATCAAATACCACCGAAAGAAAGCCCAATTCATGGGGAAAAAAGGGATGTAACTTTCATGTTTGTGCAGCATTGCATGACCGCGCAATTGTCAGTTAAAATGATGTAGGGCCATAACACAAACCGCTTATGTAACCGCTTCCTGACCGCCACATAGCAGAAATACTGATACAGGGCGGCACAGGTGTGCAAAATCACATATATATATATATATATATATATATATACCGTATTTGCCGGCGTATAAGACGACTGGGCGTATAAGACGACCCCCCTACTTTTCCTGCTAAAATGTAGTGTTTGGGCTATACTCGCCGTATAAGACTACCCCTCTTCCAGTGCACACCAGTGGGAGGAATAGTGCCCCATCATCGGTATCAGTGGGGGGAATAGTGCCCCATCATTGGTATCAGTGGGGGGAATAGTGTCCCATCATTAGTATCAGTGGGGGGAATGGTGCCCCATCATTGGTGTCAGTAGGAGGAATAGTGTCCCAACATTGGTGTCAGTGGGAGGAATGGTGTCCCAACATTGGTGTCAGTGGGAGGAATGGTGTCCCATCATTGGTGTCAGTGGGGGGTGGAATAGTGCCCCATCGTTGGTGTCAGTGGGGGGTGGAATAGTGCCCCATCATTGGTGTCAGTGGGGGTGGAATAGTGCCCCATCGTTGGTGTCAGTGGGGGGTGGAATAGTGCCCCATCATTGGTGTCAGTGGGGGTGGAATAGTGCCCCATCGTTGGTGTCAGTGGGGGGTGGAATAGTGCCCCATCGTTGGTGTCAGTGGGGGGGGGGAATAGTGCCCCATCGTTGGTGTCAGTGGGGGGGAGGAATAGTGCCCCATCATTGGTGTCAGTGGGGGTGGAATAGTGCCCCATCATTGGTGTCAGTGGGGGTGGAATAGTGCCCCATCGTTGGTGTCAGTGGGGGGGGGGGGGGGGAATAGTGCCCCATCGTTGGTGTCAGTGGGGGGGAGGAATAGTGCCCCATCGTTGGTGTCAGTGGGAGGAATAGTGCCCCATCATAGGTATCAGCGGGAGGAATAGTGCCCCATCATTGGTATCAGTGGGAGGAATAGTGCCCCATCATTGGTATCAGTGGGAGGAATAGTGCCCCATCATTGGTATCAGTGGGAGGAATAGTGCCCCATCATTGGTATCAGTGACACCAATGATGGGGCACTATTCCTCCCACTGACACTTGCTGACTCTGTTCTCGTATGGTGCTGCTGCAGCCAGCATATGTGGTTGCAGCAGCACCTCTACACTGACCACTTACCTGCTGGTCCTGCACTCGATTTTCGCGCGGCCGCTCGGCTCCACCCTCTCGCCGGTGATTGGCCGCCTGTGTGCCTTTCCTGAGCTACAGTTCTGGCGGCCAATCGCTGGTGAGGAGGCGGAGCCGAGCAGCCGCGCGAACTCCAGTGGCCGAACTGAAGGCGCAGCCGCGCTTCCTGGACCGGATCGTCGTGGGACCGGAACCAGGTAAGAAATAGCCCCTGCCCACCCCTGTACTTAGTGTCCCTTCCGTTAGGGGAAGGGGGGGGGGGCGGCGGCGGCACCGCGCCGCCCCCCTAAAAAGTGTCATGTCATGTTATACCGGCGTATAAGACGACCCCCGACTTTTGAGAAGATTTTTAAGGGGTAAAAAGTCGTCTTATACGCCGGCAAATACGGTATATATATATATACGTGATCTGCGCTCCCGTGGTTTTCACGCCCCTCCCAGATAGTGTTAGATTGCCCTTCAGTACACCAGTCATCACATTTAATCCCTCAATTGCCAGGAAGAAGCTCATGCACAATAAACCTCCATTGCTAGTATAGTGTCTGAGCGAATCAATATCTTTGATCAGATCAGCACTATGCCAGTTTTCACATTAGTATAGCATCCCCCAAAACGCAGTGTTAGCGAGATCAGCCCCAGCAGCTGCCAGCATCTGCGTTTAGCCCCTACGCTTACCCCCGTCCTTCTCCCCCAGCAAGTGCAGTGTCAGTAGGTCACTGCCTGTCAGGAATGGACTCAGCACTGGTGGTGGGACTCACCTGCCGTGTGGGCTGCAGTACCAGGGCTGACCAGCGGGTGCTCTCAGCAGCCAGAAGCTCACTTCTGCAGTCAGCCAACACCTGGGGCTGATTACAGCAGGTGTATTTAAGGAATGACCAGGCCTGTGATCTGTGCCTTGGTGTAAATGTTTCCCATGATTCCTTGTATCCTGTTCCTGTGTTGCTGTATACTCCGTTGCCGACCTCTGCTTGTTACTGATCCTGCTCTTCTCCTGTTTAACCCCTGGCTTGCCTGACTACTCTTCCGTCTGATCCCTGGTACTGTATTTGCTCGCACCCTGCTGAACCTGGCTTGTGACCTGACCATTCTTAGCTCGCTCCTCTTGTACCTCGCTGTCCGCATAATACCGACCCGGCCTGTCTGACCACGCATACTTTACCCGACCTTCCATCCATCCATCCGGCTTGGATCAGACCAGTGTATCTGTCTGCCTCTTCCAAATTGGATTCCGTTCCTGCACTCCCCTGTCAGTACTCTCTACCACCGCCGGACGCACTCGGGGGTCGCGACCTGGTTCCAGTCTGCACCAAGTCCATCCCCACCATCAGGGACCCTGGTGAACAGCAGGCTGGGACTTAGACCCCGCGCCCTGAGGGTGTCCGTGCGGTGGGCTGCTAGAGACTCTGCCAGGCGGCTTAACAGTACCAAACGGCCTGCCTGACCATTCCACCTCTCCAGCCCTGACTACGCCTGTGTTCTTGAAGCCTGCTACTTCCCTGTGTCAGTCCACACATTTCTGGTCACACCCGGCTCCCTAACAGAACAGCAAGGCCAGTCCTGACCAGAAGTGGCTGCACAGGGAAGCCATCTTGGCTTATTGTTGTGAAGGATGCATCCTGAGGATGTTGTATATTTGTGTCTGCTAGTCTTTGATGACAGAGATTATGCCTATGAGACTCTGCAGGAGTATACCAGGGATCAGCTGCTAGAATGCATACGGATCGCTCATTTTCTAGTGGATCAGGGCACAGAGTTCTCTGAGGTGCAGCCATTAATTCAGGTTTGTGCAGAGTTGGCTTCGTCTAGTGCCCCTGAGGGAAGGGATGACTTTTTGCCGCCATTTAGTGCAGACCAGGTAGAGTCCCTGGTATGGTTATTAGAGGATGATCCGGAGTGCTTCTTGGAGCGTTATTCTGCATGTTCACAACAGGTGCTTAGGGATTGTATAAACGCAGTGCAGTCTTTGACCAGACAGGCTTTGTGTAAGCTGAGCTTTGTTCAGCCAGTACTGCAGACATGGACAGATTTGTTACATCCAGCCTCAGTCAGCTTGCAACAACCCAGTCCTGCTTCTAACCATTACTCTGCTCAAAGCTCTCTTCCTCCAGTTCCCACAGCACCCCCAGTGACAGCCCAGTATACTCTGCTAGCTACCACATGTCAGTCCCCTGCTCCCACTCGCTGCACCTATCCTGCCTTTTACCCTGTAAAGAAGCCCTCTGTAGCAACTGCTCCCTCCTTTGTTCCATCCTCTGGCTCTTCCCTGTCTTCAGCTGCTCCATCCCTTTACAAACCTGCACTTACTTACAGTACTCCGGTAACTAAAACCAGGAAAAGGCGAAAATTCTTTCCAACCAGTACCATCCTGCCAGTATCCAAACCGGTCAGCCTGCCATCTGAGAACCCGCCTTCCGTGGTGCAGCCTGGTGCCTCGGCGCCCACAATTCAGCCTGATGTCTCGGCGCCCACAATTCAGCCTGATGTCTCTATTCAGCCTGTGCCCTTACCCAGCCTGATGTCTCTACCCAGCCTGATGAACTGATCCAGCCTGATGATCCTATTATGCCAGACGACTCGATGCCCGCTGTTCCGCCAGTTGACTCGGTGCCCGCAGTCTTGCCAGACGACTCGATGCCCGCTGTCCCGCCAGATGACTCGGAGCCCGCGATCTTGCCAGATGACTCGGTGCCCACAGTCTTGCTAGACGACTCGGTGCCCACAGTCTTGCCAGACGACTCGGTGCCCGCTGTTCCGCCAGTTGATACGGTGCCCGCGGTCTTGCCAGACGACTCGGTGCCCTCAGTCTTGCCAGACGACTCGGTGCCCGCAGTCTTGCCAGGCGACTCGGTGCTCGCAGTCTTGCCAGACGACTCGATGCCCGCTGTTCCGCCAGTTGATACGGTGCCCGCGGTCTTGCCAGACGACTCGGTGCCCTCAGTCTTGCCAGACGACTCGGTGCCCGCAGTCTTGCCAGGCAACTCGGTGCTCGCAGTCTTGCCAGACGACTCGATGCCCGCTGTTCCGCCAGTTGACTCGGAGCCCGCAGTCTTGCCAGACGACTTGGTGCCCGCGGTCTTGCCAGACGACTCGGTGCCCGGTCTTGCCAGACGACTCGGTGCCCGCAGTCTTGCCAGACGACTCGGTGCCCGCAGTCTTGCCAGACGACTCGTTGCCCGCAGTCTTGCCAGACGACTCGTTGCCCACAGTCTTGCCAGTCTTGACTCAGTGCCCGCAGTCTTGCCAGACGACTCGGTGCCCGCGGTCTTGCCAGACGACTCGTTGCCCGCAGTCTTGCCAGACGACTCGTTGCCCGCAGTCTTGCCAGACGACTCGTTGCCCGCAGTCTTGCCAGACGACTCGTTGCCCGCAGTCTTGCCAGACGACTCGGTGCCCGCAGTCTTGCCAGACGACTCGGTGCCCGCAGTCTTGCCAGACGACTCGGTGCCCGCAGTCTTGCCAGACGATCCAATGCCTGATGACCCAGTGCCCGCTGTCATACCTGGTGACCCGATGCCCGCCCGCCCCGCCCGTCGTGCCAGTTGACTCAGAGCCAGCTGTCACGCCTGGTGACTTGGTGCCCACTGCCTTGCCAGATGGCCCGGTGCCTACTGCTCCGCCTGGGGGCCCGGTGCCTGCCGCCCTGCCTTGTTGCCCGGTGCTTGCTGCTCCGCCTGGTTGCCCGGTGCCTGCTGCTCCGCCTGGTTGCCCGGTGCCTGCTGCTGCTCCGCCTGGTGGCCCGGTGCCTGCTGCTCCGCCTGGTGGCCCGGTGCCCGCCGCCCCGCCTGGGGGCCCGGTGCCCGCCGCTCCGCCTGGTTGCTCGGTGCCTGCCGCTCCACCTGGTGGACCGATGCCTGCCGCTCCACCTGGGGGCCCGGTGCCTGCCGCCCTGCCCCCCGCCCTGCCTGGTGGCCCGGTGCCTGCTGCTCCGCCCGCTGCCCGGCCAGGTGTGCCTCCGCCCGTTGCGCAGCCCGTTGCGCAGCCCGCTGCGCAGCCTGTTGTGCCAGCCCCTGATGTCCAGCTAAACTGGCCAATAACGATTCCCAGCCTGCTCCTGGAAATCCTGTGTCCAGCGACCTGTCTTCCTGGGTTCCCCTACATAAAGAGAAGTAATACCGACCCGGCCTGTCTGACCACGCATACTGTACCCGACCTTCCATCCATCCATCCGGCTTGGATCAGACCAGTGTATCTGTCTGCCTCTTCCAAATTGGATTCCGTTCCTGCACTCCCCTGTCAGTACTCTCTACCACCGCCGGACGCACTCGGGGATCGCGACCTGGTTCCAGTCTGCACCAAGTCCATCCCCACCATCAGGGGCCGTGGTGAACGGCAGGCTGGGACTTAGACCCCGCGCCCTGAGGGCTTCCGTGCGGTGGGCTGCTAGAGACTCTGCCAGGCGGCTTAACAGTACCAAACGGCCTGCCTGACCATTCCACCTCTCCAGCCCTGACTACGCCTGTGTTCTTGAAGCCTGCTACTTCCCTGTGTCAGTCCACACATTTCTGGTCACACCCGGCTCCCTAACACTGCCACTTGATACATTGCACACAAAACCTCAGTGTTCGCAGGCCTGTATAATAATAATAATATCAGCACTGCAATATGACTTGGTGACCTGGCGAGTCCCATAAGTGCAGTGCAAGCTGGTGCAGTGGCCAGCACAAGTGTTGTCCCGCAACCACCAAGAATTTGCACACAGGCCCGTAGAGCCCCTAGTATCCTTCTGGATGTGCTTGCAAATCCCGATTGGCAGCCCACAAATTCTGCAGCACCCGTTCTTCCCCCATTCACTGCCCAACTCGCAATTCAGGTGGAAATAGCAAATTTAACTACTCCCCTTAATTTTTTGGAGCTGTTTTTTACGGAAGATCTGTATGCCTTGATTGTGGATCAAAGCAATTTATATGCACAACAGTTTATCGTCGCCAACCCAGATTCAAACCTTGCCAGACCATTCGCATGGAAACCCATTACGGTTTCCAAATTTTAATTTTTTTTTTACCTAACCCTTAACATGGGCATTACTAAAAAAAAGTATTGGTCCACAGACCCGATTCATCATATGCCCGTGCTCTCCACTGCCATGGCCAGGCATAGATGTGAGAGTATAATGTTTTTTATGCATTTCATTTCAACAACAATACACTCTGTCATCCTTGGGGTGACCCTGAATTTGACCGGCTCAACAAAATTCAGCCCCTCACAAATCACCTTAACCAAAACTTTGCAGATGTCTATACTCCCTAGCAAAAAATCTGCGTTGATGAGTCCCTCATTAATTTTTTTAGCCAATTTGCATTCAAACAATTTCTCCTCAGCAAGCGTGCCAGATATGGGGTCAAGATGTATAAGACCTGTGAAAGGACAACAGGCTATACTTATAAGTTTCAGATTTACGAGGGAAAAGAGAGTCACGTGGAGCCCCCCGGATACCCAGACTACATGGGGAGTAGTGGCAAGATAGTTTGGGACTTGGTGTCATCCTTTTTTCCATATGGGGTACCACTTATACGTGGACAATTTTTATTCAAGTGTGCCACTATTTAGACATTTGTACAATCTTGGAACTGGCGCATGTGGCACCGTGTGCCCACCATTAGAAGTGGGTGGATGCAGGGCGGTATTTTCTAATGGTGGGCATACCACACTCTTTTTCTGGCAGAGATTTCTTCTCTTTTTTTCATTCAGTCCACAGGCTGCATACAAAAAAAAAGAACATTGCATATACAGTAATACCTCAGTTTATGAATGCCTCTGTTAACGTAATTTTCAGTTTACGAATGAAAATCCATTGAAAATAATGCCTCGGTTTATGATTTTTTTACTAATTTTTTTCACAATAAGATGTGTATGTCAGTGCCGATTTTTAAATGCAATTGCCATCTTTTTCTTTCTTCACTATAGCTCACAACATTAGCTGTCAGTTTCCTCAAAGCTAAAAGATACTTTGTATCTTTTTTAATAACTGAAAGGAAACATTGTTTCTTTTGGGGAAATAAACTAAAAGAAACTTTCTCTCTTTTAGCTGGAGGAGGAAAGTGACAGATGAATTTCTGAACTACTGTATAGTTGTCAGGACAGGAATGATGGAATGGGCAGGCAGGCCTAATGGTAGGGTCACACAGCGACTGACGACAGCCACTACCCACAGACCAGAGTCCCTCAGGGGCGCGGAGTCTAAGCCCTAGGCTACCCTTCACCAGGGCTCCTGATGGTGGGGATGGACTTGACACAGCCTGAGACCAGGTCGTGGCCCCCGAGTGACCCCAGCTGCGGTAACGACTGCCGCCAATGGCGTACAGCTGGTGGGAGCTAGATGGGAACTTGTGTAGCGTAGTCAGACAGGCCGGGTCAGTAACAGCGGAGCAGACAGTACTAGACAGTAGGCAAAGAATAATCAGGTCACGGGCCGGGTTCAGCAACGGGAGGTCAAGTAAAGGGTCAAAGCAGAGAATAGTCTTGTCCAAGCTGAGTCGGTTACCAGGAGAGCAACAGGAACAGGACAAGAGCTTGAGACAAGGGAACATACAGGACATGAATGCGGAGGGCACTTGCAGACAGCAGGTTTAAATGTGCTGAGCCACACCCTTCTGAGGAGGAGCCACAAAAGCCTGAAGGCATAAAGGTTCCCACCATGCTTTGCAGAAACCCAAGATGGACGCCAGCACATGGAGATGCACAAGAAAGGTAGGACCTTGACAGTACCTCCTCCTCAAGGACCCCTCCCCCTCCCCCGCTCAACAAAAGGTTTCTGAGGAAATCGGGCGTGAAAAGCGCGGAGGAGGGCAGGAGCATGAACATCCGCGGAAGGAACCCAGGAACGCTCCTCGGGACCATAACCACACCAATGGACCAGAAACTGCACCTGACCGCGGACCAACCGAGAATCCAAGATGCGGTTCACCTCATACTCCTCATGACCGTCAACCCGGACAGGACAAGGCCGAGGCGGAGAGGCAGTAAAGCGATTACAGACCAGAGGTTTCAACAGGGATACGTGGAAGACATTGGAGATACGCATCCCAGGAGGAAGAGCAAGGGCATAGGCAACCAGGTTCACCCTGCGGAGAATGCGGAAAGGACCAACAAAACGGGGGGGCCAGTTTCGGTGTGGGCACCCGAAGATTGAGGTTGCGTGTGGACAACCACACCCGATCTACGACCTGGTATGAAGGAGCGGGTAACCGTCTACGATCAGCCTGGAGCTTCTGGCGCTGTGCTGAGTCCTTCAAGGACCTCTGGATCTGCCCCCCCACGAGGAGCGCAGAGCAGCCAGGTGGTTATCCACAGCCGGAATGTCCTGTGGCGAGAACAACTCAGGCAATACCGCGGGTTGGAACCCATAGTTGGCCATGAAGGGGAACATCCCAGAGGAGGAGTTGACAGCCGAGTTCCTCGCAAACTCTACCCATGGCAGGAGATCGACCCAATTGTCCTGATAAAAATCAAAACAATGCAGCGCTGAAATTAAAATTGTGAAAATACCCATATACAGTGTATATTCATCAAACTTGTCAGTTCATGGTATAAATATATAAGAAGTCCTGTAATCAAAAAGGCACTAAATTGTAGAATTCACAAAGTTGTGGCAGACTCCTAGCTGTTCAGTGAGGCAATAGTACAATAATGCACTTACCAGAAGTACATACAAACTGAGCGTTGTATGTAAATATTCCACATGGGCATCAGGATCTGGTCATCAGAATGGCGTCATCTAGGGCTGCAGCAGACTCCCAGGGATGGTGTCACTCACTCATGGGGGTCATCACAGGCTCACCAGAAGGGTCCAACGCCGTCCAGATTCCTTAGACTCCTCCACCTTGGGTGGCTCAGAATAAAACGAGCCAGGGAGGCAAAATAATGCTAATAGTGTGATACCGTTTATTGAAAATCCAAAGTATAATTGCAAACTGCAAAACACTCACATGTGATACAGCAGAGAAGGCTATACAGACATAGCCTCACAAATCAATGATCCAGATGGGGTATAGCGTCAAATAGAGGGATTCCCCTGACATGTTTCGTGCTGAGGTATACCTTTCATGCTAGCGGTTTTATATCATCTTACATACTTTTTCAAGCATACATCTTTATTTGCGCTCGTTCATTTCACTCTATTTCAATTGTCCTGATGATCCAAAATATAGCAATGAAGGAATAGTTCCAGGGCCTGGTTGGAACGCTCCGCAGCCCCATTGGACTGCGGGTGGTAGGTCGACGAGAAGGAAAGCTCTATACCCAACTGGGAGCAGAAGGCGCGCCAGAACCTGGACACAAACTGGCTCCCACGGTCCGAGACAATCACCTTGGGCAACCCATGCAAGCGAAAGATCTCCTTGGCGAAAACCGTAGCCAGTTCTCGCACAGTCGGCAATTTCTTGAACAGAACGCAATGGAAAAACGATCAATCACCATAAGAATGACCGTATGGCCTTGAGACGCAGGAAGGTCCACAATAAAATCCATGCCCAGGTGTGTCAGGAACCATCGCAACGCATGGGTCTACACATGCGTACGTGTCTGCCGAGACGTATAGGTGGCAGGGCACTAGGACCCAGGCGCACCCGTCGTCTGGACAGTACTAGGCAGGCACTGGGACCCAGGCTATGCCTGTCAGGTGCAGGGCGGGCTATTTAAACTAGCCCTGCACAGACACTTGTTGCCGAATGGTCTTTGTATCCTGTTACCTGTGTGTGAGTACTTCTGATCTGGATTGTTTTGACCTTGTTGCCTTCTCCCGTCCTGACCCCTTGGCTTGCCTGACTCTGCTCCTGGATGTTCCCGTTTAGATCTGACCTCCTGGTATTGACCCTGCATGTGACCCGACTATCCTTTGCCTACCGTTTTGTACCTTACCGATCCGCTAGTTACCGACCCGGCCTGCATGACTCTGATTTAGCTCATCCATCCACCCACCCCACAGGGATCACTAGGCTCCCTTACATCACACTCCTAGCTCTCTGGAGCCCCTGTCAGACTCCTCTACCCCTGTTGGAGATACCTGGTAGTTGCGACCTGGTACCGGAGCGCTCCAAGTCCATCCCCACCATCAGGGGCCCTGGTGAACAAGTGCTCCGGTGCTTAGACTCCGCACTCTGGGGAGGCTCTACTGGGGGACTGATAGAAGTGCTGTCTGGCGGTCCGTTACAAGGTGTGACCAGGGACGCTCCCCATTGGGAATGGGTTGCAGAAGACCCAACGGAAGATGCCGAGGAGATTTATTCTGAGCACAGACTGAACAAGCCGCTACATATGAGGCGATGTCAGAACGGAGAGATGGCCACCAGAATAACTGAGAAACAACCCAGGACCATTGGTTCCTACCAGGATGACCGGCAGTCTTGGAATTATAGTAGGTACGTAGCAAGCGGGTACGCAATCCCTCAGGTACGAAACATCTTCCAGCCAGTCTCTCAGAGGGAGCGGTAGTTTGAGCCGCCAAAATCTGCTCCCCAAGGGGAGAAGTCAGGTTGGTACGAATGGCAGCCAGGATCTGGTTTGGAGGAATGACCGAGGTCGGCTCAGTGTCCTCTCTGGACAGCTCAGAGTTTTGCCGTGACAAGGCATCAGTCCTGACATTCTTGGAGCCAGGCAAATAAGAGACCACATAGTTAAAACGCGACAAGAACAGAGCCCATCTGGCCTGACGGGGCGTCAACCTCTTAGCCTCCGAGAGATATGTCAGGTTCTTGTGGTCAGTGAGAATTAGAACCGGAACCACAGAACCCTCAAGCAGGTGCCTCTGTTCCTTGAGAGCCAGAATAATGGCCAACAACTCCCTGTCTCCAATCTGGTAGTTGCACTCTGCGGATGAAAGCTTCTTGGAGTAGAACCCACAAGGAAGTAGGGGTTCCTTCAGGTGACCGACGCTGAGACAAGAGGGCGCCTACTCCCGTCTCAAAAGCATCAACCTCGAGGACAAAAGGCAACCCAGGATTGGGATGAGACAGAATCGGGGCCGAAGCGAAGGCGGATTTCAGAGCCTCGAAAGCTGAGATGGCCTCGGGTGGCCACTCGTGAGGGTTACTGCCCTTCTTGGTCAGATCTGAGAGCGGTTTGGACAGCGTGGAGAAGTTCCTGATAAACTTCCGATAATAGTTGGCGAATCCCAAAAAGCACTGAATGGACCGAAGACCACTGGGACGAGGCCACTGCAGAACCACCGAAACCTTCTCAGGGTCCATGGAAAAACCCACCGCGGAAATGATCTAGCCCAAAAAGGCAACCTGGGATCGGTGAAATTCACACTTCTCGAGCTTACAGAAAAGCTCGTTCTCACGTAACCGTTTGCAGCACCCACTTAACATCCTGGATATGAGACTCCATAGACGCAGAGTAAACCAGGATGTCGTCCAAGTAAACCACCACGCACTGCTGCAACAAGTCACGCAAGACATCATTAATAAACTCCTGAAAGACCCCGGGTGCGTTACACAACCCGAAGGGCATAACCAGGTATTCATAGTGACCGGTTCTGGTGTTTGAACGCGGTCTTCCACTCGTCGCCCTCCTTGATCCGTACGAGGTTGTAGGCAGTCCTAAGGTCGAGTTTAGTAAAGACCTTTGCTCCCTTGAGGCGGTCAAACAACTCGGTAATCAATGGAATAGGATAAGCATTTTTAATCGTGATTCAATTGAGACCCCTAAAATCAATGCAGGGTCTCAACTCACCGCCTTTCTTTTTCACGAAAAAAACCCCAGCTCCTGCTGGAGAAGAAGACTTGCGAATGTGCCCCCGGGGAAAGCGCATCCGCAACGTACTCCTCTATGGCCTGATTCTCTGCCACCGAAAGAGGATACACCCTGCCACGCGGAGGAGTGGCACCGGTTTGTAAGGTTATGGCGCAATCGTATGGACGATGAGGAGGCAGAGCACCGGCGCGCACCTTGTCAAACACGTCCAGATACTCCCCATATTCAGTAGGCAGCACAGGGTCCGAGGAGGTGCACAACACCTTAACCGGCCCACGGATGCAACCGGCCCCACACTGTGGTGACCATGAGAGAATCTCGGCCGATCGCCAATCAAAGGCCGGATTGTGCTTCTGAAGCCAGGGATAGCCCAAAACCACGGAGTAGTGCGGGGAAGAAATTGCCTGAAAACAGGCCAATTCCCTATGAACAGCCCCAATAGCTACTTCAACCAGCAGGGTCTCGTGGGTAACCTGCAACAGCTGCAAGGGCCTGCCATCTATCGCCTCGAGGAGCAATGAAGTAACTCGAGCCTGCAGGGGAATGGAGTACTGGGCAGCAAATGAACTGTCCATAAACAACCCGCCAGCACCAGAGTCTACCAACGCCTAGACCATCACCGAGCCTCCTGCCCAAGAGAGGACAACGGTGATAAGCGGTTTATCTTTACGGGAAACCAGGGACAAGGAAACTCCACCCAAGATCTGCCCCCGACAGGATCTCAGGTGTGGGCGTTTCCCGGACGGACCGGACAGGACTGCCGAAAATGCCCCCCAAGACCACAGTACAGGCAGCGACCCTCCCAACGCCGAGAGGCCCGCTCCCCCTCGGAAAGGCGAGCAAATCCCAGCTGCATGGGCTCACTACCAGACAAGCCATCCCCAGGAGGCATGGGAGGAGAGGGAGGCATGGGTGGGACAGAAAACGTAGGCGCCAAACAGTTGGGAGGCCTCTGCAGACGCTTCTTAAATGAAGGCCTCTCTCTGAGCCTGGTGTCAATCAAGATTAGGAAGGAGATGAGTGCCTCTAGCTCCACAGGCAGTTCTTTGGCTGCGATCTCGTCCTTCAACGCATCTGAGAGACCATGAGAGAAAGCAGCCACCAGAGCATCATTGTTCCAACCCACCTTTCCCGCCAGAGTACGAAACTCGATGGCGTACTCGGCAACGTTTCGTGAACCCTGATGCATGGACATGAGCAACTTGGCAGCAGAAGCGGAGCGAGCGGGCACGTCGAATACCGTACAGAAGGAGGCAACGAAACGGGTAAACTCGTGAATCAACGGGTCATTCCTCTCCCATAAGGGATTAGCCCAGGCCAAGGCCCTATCAGAGAGTAGCGAGATTAGGAAACCCACCTTTGACCTCTCAGTAGGGAAAGCGTGGGGTATTAACTCAAAGTAAATGCCCACTTGGTTAAGGAAACCACGACACTGACTCTATTCCCCCCAAAGCGCTGTGGAAGAGGGGCAGAACCAGTCATACCTCTGGGTACCGTGGGTTCAGCAACAGATGCGGAGGTAGGCGCAACAACCGGAGCAACAGTGGGAGCATCCACTGGAGTGACAACCGACCTAATAGCCCCAGGGGTAAGGTGTGCTGTGCATGCAAACAGAGCCTGCAACGCCTGAGCGAACTGATCCAACAAGCGATCCTGTTGGTCAAGTCTGGCGAGTAACATGGGGATCGAAGGCGTACCTGCACCGTCAGGATTCATGGCATTCGTGTAATGTCAGGGCAGGAATGATGGAATGGGCAGCTAGGCCTAATGGTAGGGTCACGCAGCGACTTACGACAGCCACTACCCACAGACCAGAGTCCCTCAGGGCGCGGAGTCTAAGCCCCAGGTTACCCTTCACTAGGGCCCCTGATGGTGGGAATGGACTTGATGCAGCCTGAGACCAGGTCGCGGCCCCTGAGTGACCCCAGCTGCGGTAACGACTGCCGCCAATGGTGTACAGCTGGTGGGAGCTAGATGGGAACATGTGTAGCGTAGTCAGACAGGCCAGGTCAATAACAACGGAGCAGACAGTATTAGACGGTAGGTAAAGAATAATCAGGTCACGGGCCGGGTTCAGCAACGGGAGGTCAAGTAAAGGGTCAAAGCAGCGAATAGTCTTGTCCAAGCCAAGTCGGTTACCAGGAGAGCAACGGGAACAGGACAAGAGCTTGAGACAAGGGAACATACAGGACACGAATGCGGAGGGCACTTGCAGACAGGAGGTTTAAATGTGCTCAGCCACACCCTTCTGAGGAGGAGCCGCAAAAGCCTGAAGGCATAAAGGATCCCACCATGCTTTGCAGAAACCCAAGATGGACGCCAGCACATGGAGGTGCACAAGAAAGGTAGGACCTTGACAATAGTGAAGAAAAAAAAAATAAAACCAGTAATTACATTTAAAAACTGACAGCTGAGTGTAAAAATAATTTTTTTAATTGCCAGCAATTCTTTTACATTCAGCTGTCAGTGGGGAACCTCTTGCTCAGAAAGTGTCAATATGACAGGCATGCCTATTTGGTTCTGGAAAGGGATTATGGAAAATATCACTCGCTTGACCCTCACCAGAATTGCAAACAAGGTAGAGCAGTTAAGTCAGTAGTAGGCCTAGTTGACAGTATGGGTTCCCTGATCAAGTCCAAGTCGGGGATCCTGGAAACCACCAGGTGAGATTATGCTGACCTCTTGGCTAGGAGGGACCTCAATCGGGCGAGCATGTTTTGTGGACTCTACTCCAGGACTGCGAAATGGCAGTTCTCTTGTGAGTTTGACAGAGGATATCATGGCAGATAAGGTGGCTAAAGCTATTGACAAAGGGCTATGGGGCAATTGCCAAGCAGCTTGGTGAAAATAGATCAACTGTTGGAGCAATTGTTAGGAAAATGGAAGAGGCTAAAGACGATTGTCAGTCTCCCTCGGACTGGGGCTCCATGCAAAATCTCACCTCGTGGGATATCACTGATGATAAGAAAGGTGAGGAATCAGCCCAGAACTACAAGGGAGGAGCTGGTCAATGACAGGAAAAGAGCTGGGACCACAGTTTCAAAGGTCACTGTCGGTAGAACACTACTCCGTCATGGTTTCAAATCATGCATTGCACGGAAGGTTCCCCTGTTCAAGTCATCACATGTCCAGGCCCGTTTGAAGTTTGCCAATGACCATCTGGATGATCCAGAGGAGTCATGGGAGAAAGTCATGTGGTCAGATGAGACCAAAGTAGAACTTTTTGGTCTAAACTTCACTCGTCGTGTTTGGAGGAAAAAGGATGAGTTGCATCCCAAGAACACCATCCCTACTGTGAAGCATGGGGGTGGTAACATCATGCTTTGGGGGTGCTTTTCTGCGAAGGGGACAGGACGACGACTGCACTGTATTAAGGAGAGGATGAATGAGGCCATTTATTGTGAGATTTTGAGCAACAACCTCCTTCCCTCAGTCAGAGCATTAAAGATGGGTCGTGGCTGGGTCTTCCAACATGACAATGACCCAAAGCACACAGCCAGGATAACCAAGGAGTGGCTCCGTAAGAAGCATATCAAGGTTTTGGAGTGGCCTAGCCAGTCTCCAGACCTAAATCCAATAGAACATCTTTGGAGGGAGCTGAAACTGTGTTGCTTAGCGACAGCCCCAAAATCTGACAGATCTAGAGGAGATATGTGTGGAGGAGTGGGCCAAAATCCCTGTTGCAGTGTGTGCAAACCTGGTCAAGAACTACAGGAAACGTTTGA